GCGTTGCATTGATATTTCCGCGCGCCTGGGAAGAGCCGTCTTGGCGCTACGTGTAGCCGTCTGTGCGAGCGTGCCGGGTCTTAAACACGTTGAGGTTGGCGCGGGCAAAGCTGTTATATACGCTGTCCGGATGTCGTGCGCCTTGCTGCATGAGGTGATTGCGCCCGGGGGTGTGTGAGGGAGCGCGTGTGAGTGCGAGCAAGTGAAGCACAAGGGGCGCCGTACGCAAAGTCCGCCCGCGTCCGTCTCCAGCAACGGGTGAGTGTGTTGATGCGCCGTGTCCAGCGCGCATCCTCTGTGACGGCAAGGTGCAAGCGCGGTGCGGGATGTCCGTGCGCGAGCTACGCGGCGTGCGGGTGCCGTCTTGCGCCACAGCAGGTGCGTGGTCTTGCGCGTGTCGGGTCGCGCTCGTATGCTGACCGCACCGCGTCATGTCACGTCGACCGGCCATCCCGCGTTGACCAGCCGTCTCACATTGACCAGCCGCGCACGTCGGATCCGCGGTCCTAGGTACGCCGCGCGCGGGCTCCTGACCGTCGACGCACGAAGCACTGACGATACCGTCTTCAGCGTTGCCGCGGGACGCTTTGTCGTGCAGCACGACGCTGCGCAATGTGTACGCGGAGCGGCGCTTCGTGCTATGTGCGCGCCCGGTGTGCCGTCGCGGCGCGTTAGCAGCCGGCCGTGATGCGCGCGTGCTGGTCAGGACGCGACGATCGCGCGCGGGCAACGTGCCGCTTGAGGGTGTCCCTGTTGTGCCCGGGGGGATGCGGCGTGACGGCATGAGAACGCATAGGCACCGTGATGGCATGTATTCGTTACCTAGTAGCTTAGTTTCGCGTAGCCAAGACAGCGGGTGCCCGGTGACGCGGGTGCGCACAGCGCGGAGTCTGTGAGCAAAGGGGCCAGTGCGCGCGCGGCGGCCAGATGGGAGCAAGACGGCGGGGAGTCAGACGAGCGCGCAAGGGAGCGGCGCGCAGAGCGACGCAAAGACAGCGTGGGCGCGCCTCTGACCGGGATGCATGCGTACACGACTCACGCGATAGCGTCGTCCTGCTGCCGCTCGGCAGGCGTCTCTGTCCAGAGCGAGTGGTTGGCATTGCGCGCGGGCGCGGACGTGCGTGCGACCTGGTGTGGTCGCGTGAGGCGATTCGAGTCGATCGCTGGGTAGGGGGTGGGTAGATTTCAGAGGTCAGAGAGCGCGCGCGCGGAGGCCTCACTTGCAGCAAGCACACGAAAGCGCAGGGCGAGACGGCGCGATGCTCGCTTCAAGTGTGACAACAACAGGAGACCTACAGTCCAAACAGCGCCAGTGCATTCCCCCCTCTTACGCCGTCCTTGTCCGCCTCGTCCCAGCCGTGCACGCCCTCAATCGCCTCCAAGTTCTCCACCACGCTCTTCCATCTCTCCGTCTCGCCGAGCGGCGGGAAGAACGGGTGGTCCGTCCCGAACAGCATGCGCCGGCTGCCCCGCCTGCGCTGCCCGAGCCCCGCGCCTCTCGACGCCGCCGCGCTCGCGCTGCTGCCCGCGAACGTGTCCGCGCGCCCGACGACGTCGCCGACGAACGCGAGCTCCTCGGCGCCGTACGCGACGGCGTCGAAGTAGAGCCTGCCGAGGTAGAAGCGCGCGTCGTGCTGCAGGCGCGCGGCGACGACGGGGTCGTGGGCGATGCAGGACGCGAGGCGCGCGGACAGCTGCGGGAGCGCGCCCCCGGAGTGTGCGAGGAGGACGCGCAGGCCGGGGTGGCGGTCGAGGACGCCGGCGAGGATGAGGCGCGTGACGGCCTACAACGACAGCGTTTTGAGACGACGGGCGCGCGGGGCGCGGGACGGTGCACTCACGATGGTGGTCTCGAACGGGAAGCCGAGCGCGAGCGGGAGGACGTGCCCGTTGTCCCTGCCGCCCCACTCCTTCCCGTCCACGCCGTAGTGCGGGTGGAGGAACACGACGAGGCCGGCGTGCTCGAGTGCGGCCCACACGGGCTCGAGCGCGTCGTCGTCGAGGCCGTTCCCGAGGCCGCGCGAGCCCATGATGACGCCCTTGAGATGCGGGAGCGCGGAGATCTGGTGCACGGTGTCGAGCAGGGACGCGGTGGTGACCTCTGGGACGAGCGGGAGGAGGCCGAAGCCGTACAGCTGCTTGAGCGGGCCCCCTGCGAGGCCGGGCGACGTCGAGCAGTACGTCTCGAGGTCGTCGTTAAGCTGGTGGGCGAGCTCATGTGCGGCGGGGGCGGACAGGAAGTCGAGCCATGGGTTCGCAGAGCTGCGGGGCGCGACGAGGGTCAGTCGCGATGAGGGCACGC